TTCTCTGTTTTGTCAACATTTTATTTCCTACTGCTGCATTGAGATAAAATGAATGATGATGGTAAAAATGGAAAGCAACTTAACTACTTGTTTGTGGTGCAAATAATTATCCAAAGAGCTCTGGGAATTCCGTCCTTGTTACCAGAAAATTTCTGCTAGGAGCTTTTTAGAATGTTTTCAAGTATGCGGGGAATTGGTATATTTATACAGATTGCATAACTTCATGAAACTACCAATGTCTCAGAGAAGAGCTAATTCCCCATTTAAGATATTTGGCACTGTAGATACAGTGTTTAAAATCTTACTTGTCCTGTTAGATTCTGCCGTCAAGATTCTAATTTAGGTTGTTTAGCTAAGAAATGCAATTTTGATGTATTTATTCTTTTACTAATTCAACAAACATTTATTGACTGTCGGCTCTGTAAGAGGCTTCGTGATAAAGCAGGGTTTCTCAACCACGGCATTATTGACATTTGAGGTCAGATAGTTCTTTGTTGTAGGGTGCTGTCCTATCCATTGTAGGATGTTTAACAGCATCCCAGGCCTCTACCCATAAGATCCCAGTAGCATTTCCTTCCCCATTGTGATAACCAAAAATGTCTCCAGACTTTGTCAAATGTCCCCTGGAGAAAAAAAATCACCCCTGGTTAGGAACACTGGTTATGATAAAGGAAGAGGACAGATGGTAGCTGGAGGGTGAGGATGGAGGAGAGTCAGTAGATTATGTTTGCTTGAATGATGGAAGTGGCAGTTGGGTTGGGAAACATGAATGGATTGGAGAGACATTAACAGGAAGAATGGAGAAGTCTCTGTGACTGCTGGGTCTCTGGGTGGCACAAACGGTTTGCACTCAACTATTAACCTAAGGGTTGGCTGTTTAAACCCATCCAGCAATGTTATAGAAGGAAGGCCTAGAGATCTGCTTCTGTAAAGATTACAGCCAAGAAAACCCTGTGGATAACACATGAGGTGGCCATGAGTCTGAATAGACTCAACAGCAATGTTTTTTTTTTTTTCTTTCTGTGATTGGTAAGTTGTGGAGGCTGAGAGAGAGAAAGGAGGCAGCAACACCTCTGGTTTGAACAACTGGAGGGATTATGATATTTTTACCGAAAGCAAAAATAAAGGAGGAACAGATAAGCAAGAGAAGATGAGTTCAGTTTCAGACATGTTGGGTGAGTGGAGACGTGGAGGTAGAAGCCTTCCCCAGGAAGTAGGCCCAGGGGTCTGGAGTGTAGGAGTGAAGTGAAGACTGAACAGTGGACTTGGAGGTCAACAGCTTAATAGTTGACACCAGAGCAGAAAAACTCTTTTTTTAAGGGAAGATCATTCGCCTGCTGAAGAAATGCAACCAATAGTTCTGTTAAAGATTATCAAACATCTCACCAAGGTGAAACAGAAAAATTTAAAAAACCAACCAACCAACCAACAAAAAACAAGTATCAAAAGCACTTCACCATTTTTTATAGTTAGTTAAGAGTGTGATGGAGGAGAAAGAGAACTGAAAGAAAAGAAAAAGAAATGACGTGTAATTCAGACAAAAAGTCCATTGCTGTCAAGTCAATTCCAACTCACAGCCACCCTATAGGACAGAGTAGAACTGCCCCATAGGGTTTCCAAGGAGCAGCTGGTGGATTCAAACTTCCGACCTTTTGGTCAGCAGCTGAGCACTTAACCACTGCACCACTAGGGCTCCAATTCAGACAAACAAATAGGAAAAAGAGAAGAGAATAGACTGTTTATCCATTCAGTGTTTATTGACTGCCTGCTAAAAGTTACAGAGGATATAAAAGTGAAGAACCATCTCAAGAAGTATCTACCTTGTCTTCAGAATCTAGTGTGTCTCGTAAGAAGTAGAATTCAGAGGAAAGTTTAGGCTCTCTCTCTGGGCCTTTAAGAATCGGTCAACAAGTTGCAAGACCCATTTAAAAATGAACCATTTAGTTTCGAATCACCATTAACCATTATATGATTTTAATTTCAAAAAAAGGATGGGAAATTCACACATCAACTCTTTTCCTGCAACATTTTAGCAAGAAAAATTTCAAACATATAGAAAAGTTGAAAAGGTTTTACAGTATACACCCATATACCTACCACCTGGATTATATAATTAACATTTTCCTATCCTTGTTTTATCGTATCTCCCCATGTATCCATCCATTAATGCCTCTTACTTTTTGAAGCATTTTAGACTAAATTGCAGAGATCAGTTCACTTACCCCTACTATGTCAGCATACGATAGGAATTGGAGTGCAGTATTTGTTTACTGTTTTCCAACACACCTTTATTTTATTTTTTAAATCCATACCCAATTTTCTCTGCTAGAAAATGGGTAGCATCACTTTTTTTTTTTTCCATATATAGTTTTCGTGTTTTTTTCGGGGAAGCTAATACTGAAAACTTTACTAACGATTATACTAGCCTAGATCCTTGAAAGTAGAGGCTGGTCTTATTTGCCTATTTCTCCTCTGCTTCCAGCACCTAATATATGGCCAGGTGTGAGGTAGGAACTCTAATGATTTGTTAAATGTATTTTGCAACCACAGATGGTATTCTTTCTTGATCAAATGGAGTTAAACTTAGGCCACGTCCCAGGCATCTTTGGGACTATCAAATATCTATTAAATACCAAGGACTGCTTTGGCAACGTTTGCGATTTGTCTTCATGATGCTCTCCCTCACTAGTCCCCCAAAGAATAAACTATGTAATGTTGCTTGTTATAAAGAATTTGGGATCTAAATTTGTAGGTTCAAGTATTGCCTCTGCTTCTATGTGACTTTTGACAAATCTCAGCCTCTCTGAAGCTGCATTTATTCATTAATTAAATTGAGTTGATACTACCAATCTACATTAGATATCAAGAACCCCTGGTGGCGCAGTGGTTAAGTGCTTGGCTGTCAACTGTAAGGTAGGTGGTTCAAACCTACCACCTGCTCCATGGGAGAAAGATGTGGCTGAGCTTTGTACACTGTGGTCTGTTACACGACCATCACCTATTGTTTCACATTCAAAGCATGTGTAAAAACCAACAATTCTCTCTCTCTCTTATTTCACCTTCTGAACTTCTAGACTATATCACAGAAGAAAATAGTAAGGAAATAGTTCAGAATCAAAGACGTTCTGTTAAAGAAAGAGCAAAAATCAAGATTAAAAATAAATCAATCCTCCAAGAAGCAGAAAATTCTAATAGCTGCAGGCAAATTATGCCCTCTGAGGAGCTTAGATTCTAGAATAAAGAAGACAGCAGTCTGTGAAAGAGGTGAAACAAAGGCTTTTCAAGTACTCGGGATTGCTCAGAGCCTGGGATATTATTCTGGCAAAGTTATTAAAGCTGATTTCTCCAAACAATTTACTCAAAAGGGTCACCTAAGGACAAGTGGCCACCTGCCCTTAAGTTATCATCTATTTTTAAGAACATAGTTTGAAAAAGGCTAGTAAAGTATGGCTACATAATGCTTTTACATCAAAGATTTCTAGGAACAAATTTTTTCCTCTTTTAAACAAAGATGGTTAAGGAGGGAGATTTAAAATGTAGGTTCACAACATGCAAAGGAACATCAAACATTTGCTTTCTGTAATTATATTGCATCATATAATATGTAGTAGTTTTTTCTCTTGAGTTTAAAATATTAAACTATTAATATGTTGGATAGCTATTACATACTATCAAAGTGGTTGACAATGAACTTCTAATTTAAATACTTCTAAGGCTTATTGATTGATGCCACTATACCAATGATGTGTGAAAAATACTTTTTAAATGTAAGTAACAACATTTTACTAGTAATTAATGACAAAATTTACAATGAAGAAAAGTGTTTATGGTTATATTGAAGCCAGAATGTTAAGGAAACTCCAGTATAGGAAACTATTGCAAACTGTTATAATGAAGGCAAGGATAAAGGTTACCTTGAAGGGTTTTCTTGGGAAGGTGGTAGTTTATAATTTAACATCTGATTTCTTGTGTTTGTGCCAAGGGTGTTTCCTTTTTGTCTCTTTTCTTTATAAGCAGCAACAATAGTGACATGTTTAATATTGATGAGTTTGACCTCCTGGGAGTTATAGTGTATGCATCCTTTTTGAATACAAATGCTGTTTGATTTATAGGGTAAACACACAGAATTTTGAAGATTAGCATTTTAATCCAGTCTAATCTAGTATTTTCTACTTCCTTCATCCTTTTTCTGTTAAAAAAGTTTGAAAAACGAACTTTTTGAAAACGCAAGGCATAAAAACAGCACTAGTGTAGTAACCTCTCCTAAACCACATTCTCGAGCACATTAATAGTGTTCAAGGAGACGATCAATTATTAAAGAAACAGAACAATCCATTCATCCAACAAATGTTTGCTGAAGAACCATGCTTCTGCAGGCAGATTCATGTCTGTGTTGTGTCCGTGATATAATGGCACCTATAAACTGCAATTTGGCTTCAGTTTATCCTCCTTTAAAATTTTCTTCTTTTTTAACTTTTCTCGTGGCAGGTCCAGGAGCTTTGAAGTTGTGTGCATCTTCCAGCTGATGAGGCCTTCGGGCGGGGACAATGCATTCGATTCACACGGTGGAGATTAATGTCCCCAAGATAGAGGAAACGTTTTTCTCGCCCGCGTTTCCCGAGGAGCCGCGCGGAGACGGAGGGGGCGGCGGCACCCCGCGGGGAGCGAGGCCGGGGCCGCCTCTGCGTCTGGCGCAGCCATTGGCGGGAGCGGTCCGCGGCGCCGCGCGCTGCACTGAGCATGTTCGCGCCACACCGGCCCCGGGCGGCAGCCGCAGCCGCAGCAGCACCAGCAGCCGCGAGAGCCGCCGCGCATTATGCGAAGCGGCGGCCGCGGCAGATGCGAACTGGGCCAGCCGGGCGCGCATCGGCCTCCCCTCAGGAAGGCTCGCACCTCGTCCTGACCTGCTCGGGAGCCTCCCCCAGCCCGGGCCGGGGGCTGAGAAGGGCCAGCATGGCCTGACTGCCAGAGGCGCGGCGCAGCAGCTGCGGGTTTGCAACATGGGGAACCAGGATGGCAAGCTAAAGAGGAGCGCAGGTGATGGCTCGCACGAAGGCGGCGGCGGCGCCGAGGATGCTGTTGGGCCCAGGGATGTGGAAGCCACAAAGAAGGGAAGCGGGGGCAAGAAGGCGCTGGGCAAACATGGCAAGGGGGGAGGGGGCGGCGGCGGGGAGCTGGGCAAGAAGAAGAACAAGTCCGACTCCAGAGCTTCGGTGTTTTCCAACCTGCGGATTAGGAAGAACCTATCCAAGGGGAAGGGCACTGGCGGCTCCCGCGAGGATGTGCTGGACTCCCAGGCCTCGCAGACCGGGGAGCTGGACAGCGCTCACTCCCTGGTCACCAAGACCCCCGACCTCAGCCTCTCGGCTGACGAAACGGGCCTGTCGGATACCGAGTGCGCAGATCCTTTTGAGGTGACCGGTCCAGGTGGTCGTGGCCCGGCCGAGGCTGGAGTCGGGGTCCGGGCGGTCGCTGAGGATTTGGAAACTGCGGCAGGGGCGCAGGATGGACAAAGGACCAGTTCAGGCTCGGACACGGACATCTATAGCTTTCACTCGGCTACGGAGCAAGAGGATTTGCTCTCAGACATCCAGCAGGCGATCCGCCTGCAGCAGCAGCAGCAGCTCCTCCGAGGCTCGGAGGAGCCTTTAGCACCCCCCACCGCCGCCCCCCTTCAGCCCGGGGCCTTCCTGGGCCTGGACCGATTCCTGCTGGGGCCGAGCGGCGGGGCTGGGGAGGCCCCGGGCAGTCCGGATACAGAGCTGGCTCTGTCCGCGCTTTCCGACCTGCCCGAGAGCCTGGCCGCGGAGCCCCGGGTGGCCGAGCGTCCGCCGTCCCCCAGCGGCTGCCTCGACTCGGAGACCCCTTCCCTTCCGGCGGCCCAGCCCGCGACCGCAGACTCGCCCTCGTCCACGGCTTTCCCATTTCCCGAGCCCAGGCCGGGGAAAGGCGCGGCCGAAGCCCCCGTGCTAGGGGCTGGGGACACGGATGAGGAAGGGGAGGAGGATGCCTTTGAGGATGCCCCCCGAGGCTCTCCAGGGGATGACTGGGGCCAGGGGCGCAGGGAGGCTCCGCAGAGGCTGGGAGGAGAGCCCGAGGAGGGGGCCACAGGGCCCGGTGTGCCCTCGGCTGCCTCCCTCCCGGGCAGCCCCGCGCCAAGCCCGCGCTGCTTCAAGCCCTATCCACTCATCACCCCCTGCTACATCAAGACCACTACCCGACAGCTCAGCTCGCCCAATCACTCCCCGTCGCAGTCCCCCAGCCAGAGCCCCAGGATCAAGAGGCGGCTCGAGTCCTCCCTGAGCCGAGGGCAGAGATCCTCTCTCGCCTCCGCGGCCGCCCCGGCCAAGAAGCACCGGGCCGACGGCGGCCTCGGGGGCGGCCTTAGCCGCTCGGCCGACTGGACGGAGGAGCTGGGCGCCCCAGAGCCCAGGGTGGGAGGCTCTGCGGACGTGCTGGAGCGCGGGGCAGCCGCTGACGACGTCAGCCGTGTGCCCCCTGCCCTGGCCGGCAAGTCGTCTGGGGCGCAGGCGGCTGCAGATGGCTTCCAGAACGTGTTCACAGGTGAGTGCACCCTGCCGCCTCGGCCTCTAGGTACCGGATCGCCTGCCAATCAGCGACCTTCCCCTGCTGCCCGCCCTCCCCGGGCTCTGAAAGGCTTGTAGCATGTCATTTCTTCTTAGGGACTCGTCACCTGCTCAGTGAAATGCCTTGGGCATACTTGCTAGTTTTGTATATTACAAGGTCTTAAAGGGAACACATTAGATGTGTCTGTCCAAAGCCATCACTAGGAAGGGATGCTGTCTGCTCATTTCCCCAAATGCTCTGTCCATTTCTCCAGAGTATCTGCTGTTCATTATGTCCAGGGCCGCCCCAAGCAGATAAACCCCTTTTTTCCTTGTTACCTAAGCCATCATTCTCTTTCCTCCCTTTATCCCTACAGATTTAAAAAACAAAATTGTTCATAGTCCTTTCACAAGGGTCAGTGTTGGAGAAACAATTTATTCTGGTACTATCCAAAGGCGGTCACTGACCACTCTAATAGATAGATGTATGTGTGTATGTATATTAGGTAGTTTCTATCTCGCTGCAGTCTGGATATGACTGCTTAGTTAGATGGTCATTCCTATTTGGTCATGTAAGCAGATTTGATTCATGCTGCTAGAAAATAAATAGTGAATTGGAATATTAGGGAGACTTTCATTTGGTTTCATGGCCCTCTTAGGGTGTAGCTTGGAGGTGGTGAAGGTGAGGCCAAAAGCTCACGTGATCCAACTGGTCCTTCTCCTTAGCATTTGTTATGGACTTTCCCACAGGTCACCACAAAGCACAACTAAAGGGTCAGTTTATTGTCTGAATGTCAAGTTTATCCTTTATAGGTTTTTGGGGCCCAAGGCCTTAAGAGCCCACTGGTAAAGTGGCAGTTTGTTTCTTATTTGCTTAAAAGTTCTAACCTTAATTATTGAAAGAGATAGAGCGTAAGAATGTAATGAGTAGGGAAAAAATGGAAATTTATTTAAGTACTGTGTCTGGCTCGTAGGTTTGTGATAAATATTTGAAAGATTAAAAATTTAAAATGCAGTTTGAAGGTCGTATGTTCTATTTGATAATTTCATATATAAAACTACTTAGATGGAAGTTTTTCAATGAATACTACTTATTAGGTAAATATTATTAATGTTGGAGTAGCTACTTTTATTGACTGCATTTTTATTTTCATCTATGGGCTATCTTATTTTGTATTTATAGAATCTTATATTAAAGAGTGTTGTTGTTGCTGTTGAGTTGGTCCCACTGCACAGCGGAAATAAATTCTGTATTGTTCTGCGCCATCCCCATGATTGCTGCTGCTTGGACCGTTGCGATCCAGAGCTTTTCATGGGGTGGTTTTCAGAAAGCCTTTCTGCCCTGGTGGTATAGTGGTTAAGGGCTCAGCTGCTAACCAAAAAGTCAGCAGTTTGAATCCACCAGCCTCTCCTGGGAAACTGTCTGGGGCAGTTTTACGCTATCCTATAGGATCACTATGCGTTGCCGTCGACTCGATGGCAGTGGGTTTGGTTTTTGTTTTTCTTCCTATTCTGTCTTAATGTGGAAGCTCCACTGAAACCTGTTCAGCATCACAGCAGCATGCATGCCTCCACTAATGGATGGACCGTGGCCGTGCATGAGGTGCATTGGCCAGGAATCAAACCCGGGTCCCCTTCATGGAAGGTCAGAATTCTACCACTGAACCACTACTGCCCCATAGTTAAGAGTAGCCTCTTCTTTTCATGTTACATGCTCTTTTTTTCCCACTCCTTTTCTACCTTTCTTTATTGCGTAGGTTAGGTTAGAAAGAACATTAGATACATTGCAAAAAAAATGAAAGACTGTTTTTGATGGAAGAAGATTGCAAAGTTCTTGAGGTAATTTTTGTGAATTTAATGTTGGTGAGAAATCATGTATTTTCTCTTTAGGTAAACAATTATTTACATATTTTTTTCTTAAAAAATGGAAAAAACTTACCATAATTAAGACTATCCTTCATTTATATTAATGATTGCTTTTCCTAGTAGCATAAGACATTGGAAATTTATTCATTTCATTTATTTAAAAAATATTTATATCTGTATACGTCTTTATTTCTGTCTGTGTATATAAGGAGCCCTTGTGGTACAGTGGTTAAGCACTCGGCTGCTAACTGAAAGTTTGGTGGTTTGAACCCACCAGCCGCTCCACAGAAGAAAGATGCGGCAGTCTGCTTCCATAAAGAATACAGCTTTGTATGGGGCAGTTCTACTCTGTCCTACAGGGTTGCTGAGTCGGAATTGACTCTGCAGCAATGGGTTTTACTTATACACATATGTATACGTGGTAGCCATGTTGTGCTACCTAATATGCTGGATAAAGAGATCATTAAATCGTGGTTCTGTCTTTCCAAGCTCACTGACTAACAGGGAGACATGAGATAATTACAGTGCACCAGAATACATATAGATCTACAGGAGAGTGCGGTGGGAGCATCAGGGATCCAGTGACCTATCTCCCTGGCAGGGGTGGAGAGAAGAGTACTTGTTATAGGGGGATGGAATAGAGTCCTGAAAGAATGTAGGACCCTTAATAGGTTGAACGCTTTTTTTTTTTTAAGTGTATTTTTGGGACTTGCATTTTATTTTAATCTGCCAAGTGTTTCCAAATTTGAAATTTGGGGCTCTTAAAGAAGTCTTGTTCAGGAAGCACCTGAATTTTGTTGACTTCTTCAGGCAGAAATTTTTACTGTGCGGAATCAAGTGCAGAGTTAGCTGTTTTAATATGGACACTACTTACTTTGTGTTTGACGTTAGATGTGGCTGTAGAGGCTTCCATATGTTTATCTCGGCTGCGCAGCATTGCTTTCTAGAAAAAAAAAAAAAAGTGGTAGGTTTAACCTAACCTTGTAACTAGCGGGGACGTGGAGGTAGAGAAAGAGGCGAAGTAACTTTCTCAAGGTCACGCTGATTCATTCAGAGGCAGAGCTAGAAATAGAAGCTGAGTGTACTGATTCAAGTCTGAATGTCCTTGCTTATTACTCATGTCTGGTGTTCAACATTGTAAGACAATATGTTGACTAAAGAAAACAACAGTTAAAAAAAATGTTGTCAGATTCAAGGCCTTCACTTACGAAACTTTCCAGTTCTGTTTTTAATAAGGTAGCACTACTTTAATTGTTTCACATGTGGCCTTCCTTGGGCTGGATTAACGGTGATTGTTGACCAAAGTGAACTAGATTTCCCCTAGGAGCTCTCATGGAAAACTGTTCTTATGGCCGTAGAGTGATTCCAGATTGACACAGAAGACCCTGCTTCTCAGCTGTTGACTGTTTGCTTGTCATCTGGCATCCCACGGGGTTCTTTTATCGCGCTCTACTATTTTATGGGAGTCTCTGAAATTACTAGAGGCTTGGGGAACACGAGCATTATCCTTAGGGACATTTTTTTTTTTTTGCCTTAATTTTGCATGTATTTGAATTAATTAAATGCCAGCTGCCTTTGAAAGCAGGTGATCATTATATTTATAAACTTCCATAAACATCTTTTATTTTTAAACCATAGAATGAGGGTTGTCGGCTCTGTAGGAAGGAACAGATGTTTTTCGCTTTTTACTGCTTTCAGAGTGTAGGGAGAAAATTAAAGTGAATAGGGATCTGGATGGCATGTGACTGTGTCTCTTTGGTAGATATAAAAACATGTAACAGTGGTAGAGACCAAGACTTGGTCTTATTTTGGCTGTTAAGAAGCTGGGGATGTCTTAGGCCCTTACACTGAAATATTTTATGGTTAATTTGTTTGAAATAAATCTTTTTCAGTGTTTAGTAGAAAAATTGCTTTTGAAATTTGAGCAGTTCCTTTACATAGTAAGTATAGCTGAAGCTTGTTAATAGAATATTGCAGTTAATTAGAGCTTAGACATCTAACATGTTAAAACCGTGATGCTAAATCACCTTTGATCAGAATCTTTCCAAAGTCAATTATGTGCTTATCTGTCTTTTTAAACACATGAAATAAAAGTTTAATCTGTTTTAAATCGCTTTGTATCATCTTCAGGCACATCACTGTTACATCCTGTGAAAGAACCGATGATGTCCTCAAAGGCTATTGAAGTGTATGTGCTGGTGGCTCCTGTCTCCTGTTTCCCTGTCTGTGTAGTTTTCTTACTTGACCCTTTCCTTGCTGTCAGCTAGTTAAGTCTTAGTGGTCTCTTTAGTCCCCTTCCCCCAATTCTTTCTAATTTGATTTTTCTAATCAACTTATTATTGGCTTGTGAATCCGGTAATTAAGATGTTAACTGTATTTATTGCACATCTACTAAATGCCAGGCTCTCTGTTGGTACATTACATAATTTTCTCTAAAATTCTTACAACAGTTTTGAAGTATAGCTGTTTATCCTCATTTTCCCAATGAGCAAAACAAGGCTTAGACAAGTTAAGTAACTTGCCAAAGGGAATTCAGTTACAAAGGGGCCCATCCAGGATATGTACTTAGAAAACTAAATCTGTTGTTAATGTGTAAAATAAAACCAAGTGGATGGATCCACAGTGAGCTTCTGGAGAACTAGCTAATTAATAAAGTGCTCGGGCTTTAGTGCTTGGAATGTGTGACCCTCATTTTGACTTTTCGGAAGGCATCTTGATTTTTACAACAATAGAGAGAAGGCCCCACCTTAGGGAGTACACATTTTCTCACATAACTTGTTAAATTGTTAGCTGAATTTTGTAAGAATAGGAGCAGTCTTATTTGTAGCAGTAGTACCTGACAGAATTTCAATGTCCAGTTAATACTCTGTGAATGAATGAAGGTTAGAACTCATCATATATATATATATATATATATATATACACACACACACACATACATGTACACACACGTATATGTATGTATATATTTATGTAATATCCAATGCCATATATGTGTGTATATATATAATATTCAATGCCATATATGTGTGTATATATATATAATATCCAATGCCATATATAGATATCTATATATGGCATTGGATATTGTACACACGTGCACGCGCGCGCGCACACACACACACACAGACT